TGCAAGTTCAGTGAGAGAAGAGACTAAGTACCTTCTGTGAGACCAAAGGCATCAGCTTTAGATGTCTGAAATTAAACAAGAATTTTGTTAGAGTTAAATCTGCTTTTGTTTTGCTGGACTATGTGGAAAAATCAACCTTTAACTCAGCTGGTAAAAACTGGAAATACATTGTAGGCTCTCATATCAGTCTCTTTTTTTCCAGCAGCAGCACTTCTTTGATGATGAGGACAGGACAGTTCCAAGCACACCAACTCTTGTAGTTCCACATCGTACAGATGGATTTGCAGAAGCTATTCAGTAAGTAGAGCTGAAAAGAAAAAGGAAAAAAAAAAAGGCTTTTCTCTATTCTTTATTCTCTTTCTTTCTGTTTTTCAGTGAAATGAAAATAAATTTAAATTAAATGAACTTGTGATTGAAGTAACATGGTAGGCAGTAGGATAGATGGAGGATAGATATCTGCATGTGCAGATAAGTAATTATTGTTTGACTTGTGTGTCATATAACTGATTAGCAGATTAGGAATTGAATATTCTCCCATGTATTGTAACCGGTGACTTACAAAGATTAAACAAACAAAAGAGTTCTATCAAATATCCTTCCTTGTTCTTCCTCCCTCCCCATTAATATTGAAAGTGAAAATAGGAAAAGTTGCTCCCATTTCTGTTTTTGGAATATTCTGGACATGTCCAGCAATCCACTTAAAATTGTGAGAGTTCATAGAATGGATAAGTAAAGAATATTCTCTTCAGGACTATTGTATTGTACTGATTTTGAATGCATTCCTAATAATTTGAGAGCTAATTGCTGTTTATTTAGCAGTAGCTCAGATGATTTTTATGGTCAGTATTAGCTCATTTTGTCTCATGCTTGATTTGTTCTCTTGGTCAGAAAGTTCTCCCCCCTGCCCCGATCTTTGGGAAGTTGCAGAATTCCTTAAGTCTGTGTTTTCCAGTTCCCCCCAGGTAGCTGGAGTTCCTCGGTTCAGATTTGGGCCCCCTGAAGATATGCCACAAACCAGCTCCAGTCACTCTGATCTTGGGCAGCTGGCATCACAAGGAGGTAAAGCACTTCTGGGCTCTCTTTTCTGTGGGTCTTTGACTGAATTCTCTCTTTTTCACTCAACAAAACACAATTCTTCACACAGTGTTTCAGGTAATTGTTGAAGTGTGGAAGCCTGCAACTCTTAAATAATTGTCAGCCAGGAGAGAATAACAGAAATTGAGAAGGTGTTATCTTCAAGCTGCTACATTTATAGTTGTGTTGGGATTTTGAAATTGAATGAAATATTGAAGGAATGGGTTTTAACTTCAATTTTACTGTTGGTTGTAGCTTACCTGTAGTGAAACAATAGGGGAAAACATGAAATGCAAAGAAATCTTTGGGCTATATCCTTATCTGCTCAGAGATGGCCAGGCTGTTGTGTTTGTTGTTGGTCTGAATCAGTCCCTTTCCTGGCATCCCTGGCGGCATGGACCACAGGCTGTTCTCTGAAGAAAGCTCATAGCAAAATAATGGCATAATGCAAGGATGAAAGTTAAGAAAACAGGCAGTAATATTTTCATGAAGGTTTTACCTTCCAATAAATTATGATCAGCTCTGGCAGTAAGTCAAAACAAAACGACAACAATCTGCTTAAATACAAGTGACTGGATTGTATCAAATAGCCAGAGGGAAGACATTGGTTAATCCTTTTTTTAGCCACTCATTTGGATGGATTGTCACTGGAACTTTGTGTTGCAGGTTTAGGGATGTATGAAACCCCACTGTTCCTTGCCCACGAGGAGGAATCAGGGGGTCGTAGTGTCCCCACAACACCGTTACAAGTGGCAGCACCAGGTAAGTGGCAGAGGCGCAAGGAATTTTGCAGAGGCGCAGGTGCTTTTGAACAGCAAAGCCAGCAATGATTCCCCGCGGTCGGTGCAGTGCTGCCGCTCCTCAGCAGCACTGGGCAGCCTGTCCCCGAGCTGCTGTGCTGTACAGGCTCTGTGGGCAGGGCCTGAGGGTGTCTGTGCTCCCCAGTGACGGTGTTCACAGAGAGTGCCTCGGCCGACGCCTCGGAGCACGCGTCCCAGTCCGTGCCCATGGTCACCACCTCCACCGGCAGCCTGTCCACCACCACCGAGCCCGGCGCCGGCGATGATGCCGACGAGGTCTTCGCAGAGGCAGAGTCTGAGGGGTAAAGCACCACTGGTTTGATTCACTAGCACTGCTGACATGTTCATGGTCACCCAGGGGCAGCTCAGACAGCGTTTTGTAGTGCTGTGAGGCAGGACAATCTGAGTCTTCATCCAAAACCAATGGTTTTCTGCTGATCTTCTCCTTGGGGTTTACAAAGTTAATATAAAATTCACCCAAAAAAATTATTTTTTAAGAATGCAGAGCACTCTGCAATAGTCAAATACTGATATTAAAGGCATGGGTTGAAGGATCAATTTGTAGAATAAAGACTAAGGCATTCCTGTGTAATACAGAAAATCACTCCTCGTGCAAAGCACACATACATGATTAATTCACCTAGTTAATACAGTGCATGTACAAAAGATGAAGCACAGGGCTGGAATTAGCAGTTCTTAGTGAATTTTGAAGACAAATAATTTTGTCATTTGCTTTACAAGTGCAATTTTTAATATTTATAATAATTGCTATATTTTGTAGTATGGTGAAGTAAAGATCTAAAAGGGGACAGTTTATCATTTTATGCTATATTTTACTTTTGATTTTCATTAGATCTTTGTGTTCCAAGACAGTCTTTTTTTTTCTGGACCTTTTTGAAACTATGCAAATACACTTACATGGTTCTCCTCCCCCTCCCTCCCTTCTAGCATTACTTCAGAAGCAGGTCTAGAAATCGATAGCCAGCAAGAAGAAGAATCTGTTCAAGCATCTGATGAGTCAGATCTTCCTTCAACTAGTCAGGATCCTCCTTCAAGTTCATCTGCAGGTACAGGATATTCACAATAATAGTTCATACCTTTTCATTATGAGTGGGAATTCCTTTGTCCAGCATCGTGGCTGGTAGCCAGGATATACAAAATAAGATAAAACTCTTAGAATCAGACTCATAGAATAGTTTGGGGTGGAAGGGATCTTAAAGCCAATGCAGTGCCACCCCTGCCATGGGTAGGGACACCTAGGTTCCAACCTGGCCTTGGGCACTTCCAGGGGCAGCCACAGCTTCCCTGGGTGCCCTGTGCCAGGGCCTTACCACTGTCACAGAGAACAATTCTTTCCCAATAGCCCATCTAACCCTGCCCTCTGGCAGTGGGAAGCCATTCCCTCTTGTCCTGTCCTTACAGGCCATTGTCCTAAGTCCCTCTCCAGCTCTCCTGGAGCCCCTTTAGTCACTGGAAGGGGCTCTAAGGTCTCCCCAGATTCTGTAAGAGCAAGATCATATTCTGATGCTTATAGATCCTTTGGTAAACCATTTTTCCTTGGACTGCAGTAACTGGAGTAGGCCAAAAAAAGAATAACACTTCAAGGAGCAAATGTTACTGATATTTTGGTGGTTTATCCACTGGCATATTTGATGTCAGCTTTAAAATATTTTTAATTAAATTGTGAAACAACAATAAGTTAATCTCTACTGAGTTATCAATTAACCCTTTGTATAGAGAACAAGAGAAGTGCAACTTACTTGTTTTGAAGCTTTTATTTATATTAGAGGTCAATGAAATAAGGAGGCACCTCCATCATTCTAAAGTAAAGAAAGCATAACCCATATCAAAAGATGTAAAGATGAGAAGCTGGCAGGCACAGCCACCCTTTCTTTCTGCACTGCCTCTCCCCACAGACACGAGCAGCACTCAGCCCAAGTCCCTGCGCCGTGTGCGGCTGCAGCCCCCGACGCTGAGGACGGGCGTGCGTGGCCGGCAGTTCAACAGGCAGAGGGGTAAGTGCTCCTGGCTGCTCCAGCCAGGGAGTGAGTGAGTGACACAGCAGCCCTGCCCTCTAGTTTGGTGTGTGACCCTGAGCTCTGGTTGGGGTTTAGTGTGTTAGGCTGAGCGGGTTTCAGACAGGCAAACTTCCTTCTGCAGTAGCACCTGGCTCTTATCAGTAGAGAGAATGTAAAGGGCATTAGATCTTCAAAGTTTTAAAGGAAGGTTCCACAAGTGTGTTAGGACAGCAGTTTAGAAAATTCTGGTTTTAGCATTAGAGGAGCTTCCATTTGGTACATTAAGGATTCCAGTTATATCAATGTGTACTCATTGAAAAAAGCTTTATTGGAAGTATTACAGGTTTTCCAATGTAATGGAGTTAAACCATGGCAAGAAAATATTTTTGCAACTTCTGTACTTAAAAAAAACTTCTGTACTTAAAAAAAAACCTTTGGATTTTGTTTTGTTTTGCATTATTTTAACATTGTAGAGAACTCAATATTAGCATTGAAATATAGATTAACTGGTATTTTAAGGGGAAAAAAATGAGGTGGGACTAGGATAGATTTTCTTCCATCTGTCACCATTTTTTTTAATAACAAGAAGGAGGGACTAAGTGATTTCAGATGAGGTAAGAATCCTCTGCTCATTGGTGTGGCTCAGGATCACAAGTCACCCCCAGCCTTTTGCATGACACAGGTGACATGTACACATGTCACCAGGCTGAGGGGGAGAAAGGGGAAACATGAACTGTATCAGAAAGGAACCACTCCACTGCCCTGACAATTCCTTAGGGAATGATGAAGTATCACCTGTGCACTGGTTGATGAAAAGGGTTTATACTAATGCACTTGTTTTCTTTCCCTGCACAGGTGTAACTCATGCCATGGGAGGCAGAGGAGGCCTGAACAGAGGAAACATTAGTTAAATGAAATGTAAAGGACTTCCAGCTGTGTATACAAAATGCCAGTTTGCCTGTGATTGCTTAGTGTAATGAAGCCAGAGCTTGAAGCAGCATTTTAATACTTAGAGTTGTGTGCACATATTTCAATGTCTTTTATTAATAAAATTAGAAAAAACATTGACATCCAAATGGCATCTTGTTTTAAACTCCTCTGCTGTTCATCACTTGCTGGGACAGTTGTACCAGTCTTTGGTTACAGTCTTTCCTGTAAGAGCAGTAACAGGCCGTGCTATTCTTTTGCCAATATCCAAACTGTAGTACCGATCTGAAAGGAAGAGAGGTCAGGATTAAATTCCAGAAACTACATTTAATTCATGAGAAAAATTCACAAATTCAAGCCTGCATTTTAATGTCACTTAGGCCTGGATAACAGATTTACTGTTCCATGTGCATATAGGGAGCTGAGAGGCTCCAACAATAAATTTCTGTCCTCAGCTTTATTTTTCAGGTGTCCTTGGTTGTAGTAAGTTTTATGGCATTGCCAATAATTAAATCTGTCCCAGGAGCAGGGAAGAACATTCTTGTGTTGCTAGAACACAGAAATAGTCTTAAGAATTTGGAAATCAAACTAACTACATCCACAACACTCACCACAGAAGTGGGAAGTCCATGGTCCCTGAGTGTGAATGAGCCTGTGAGGCTGATTCCTCCAAGATGAGGAATTGGATCTTACTGACAGGGACTTTAATAGCCTTGGGTATGGCTTGTTCATAGAGCTATTTAGTTTTTTGAAAACTGAGGAATGCTTAAATGGGATCCTGGTTGGGGGAATGAGTCTACCTAATCTAGGATTGTAAATAATTTTTTTGAGCTAAGTTAAGTGGTTTATCTCCCTCCTTTTTGTGTTTTGTCAGAAACAAAGTTCCCTAGAAGCCATTGAAAAACTTGCTTTGTTGTGATCCAAAGACTTCAGTCTATCATTAACATAATCCTTCATTTAAGGTTTGTCCCTTTACAAGGCTGAACTCCTGGCAATGCATTCCCCAACTGGCTGCTTTGAACCTCTGTATTTCATTGCTGCACCTTGTCCTGATTCTTAATAGAAACATCTCTTGATTATGGGCAGCATTTTAATTCTCGGGACTTTTTAGCAGTGCTGAAAGTAGTACTACAAGTGATAACAGGAGCTTCTTCCCCACCCCCTTCTGAGGTCTATAGTGATGTGCTTTAGTTTTACTTACTGTAAGAGAAGGCATAGTAGTCGTAGCCATCGGGCTTGTTCTGGTTGGGTATGGAGAGAGTTGAGTGGACAACCTTGGGCAGCCCTCTCCAGTACGTTGTCATTTGGACTTCCTTGCGCAGAACTCCTGCAAGCAAAAGGAACCCTCCGTGAGGAGCTGTGTCCCCTACAGCCATTAAAACCTTCCAAACACAATGTTGTGTCAGAGGTGAAAGCACCTGTGTAAGAGAGCCTTAATGTCCCCTTACCAGAAGGGTGGGGGTTGATCCTGACGGTGCGGATGACGGTCGGCATTCGCACAGCGCGCTGGAAGCGCCGCCGGATGACAACTCTGGGGACAAAGGCTGGGTATCTGATGGTGACCTGGGCTCTTCTTTGACACTTCTTGGCTGGCTCTTGTCTGTACACATACTGCTGCATGTTCCCATCTACAACACACGTTTGTTTTGTTAGTTTTAAAAAAATAAAATCCCCCCAAAAAACACCGAACTTGATTAAGTATGAAAATGTCATTATATTCCTATCACACACAAGAAATCAATAACAACATTCTTGTAGTAACTGTACAGCCCACACACCATTCATGTAAGATAAGGAAATTACTTCAAAATAGGAAATCAGAAATGGAGATGGAAATTTCCACACATAGTTATGAACTAGCAAGATTAAAGCCTTACCTTCTCTACTTAACTTGAGACTAAAATAGCTTTACCACCAGATAAAACTTATTGCAATGTTCAGCCACTCCAGTGCTGGGTTCCTGGATTCTCACCCTTACAGACCTGGTTAAAAATGCACTGAAAGACCTCCAAGTTCTAGTATAAATTTTTTTAAGCTTCAGGCTATTTTTGAACACCTGGAACACTGGCATCATTTGAGTTTCTGTGTTTGAAAGAAATAGGTCTTGGGTCAAGAGAAACAGTATTTTATGCCTGATCAAGGCAATTCAAGCACCTTTTGATGTTCCCTGAACTTGAGGAATACAAAACATACCTCTTTTGATAAAATAAACAGATTCTGGTCTGGTGTTGTATCTTGCCACAGGGAGGGTTGCTACTATTCTCCCACTTAGCCCTGCAAATCCAGTTGCGAGAGGTTTGGGATAGCCATTATCCATAACGCCATTAGTGAAGCGCCAGTACAGGGGACCCTGAGCATTTAAGGAAAAAAAAAAAGAGCTTTAGAGGAAGTTAATTCCTGGTTATTTCAACTGCAAAACAAACATGAAGAATAATCCATAAACAAGCACTACTAGTACTTGATTAGCTACATTGTAAATCTGACTGGAATCACTCCTACCTACATCCAGACAAATGGGGAAAAAACTACTACAACTTCATTAAGTACCTCCTGCAGCCTTTTAACCTTTGAGTAGGGCTAGAGTATTTTAAAAGCTAATTTTTAAGGGGGGGGGGGGGGGTACTGAATAAAGGGGTTTCCTTTCTAAATCTCTTAAATTTTCATAGATATACGAGCAGCTTGAATTCCAGGACTGAGTGATTTATTGGGAAGTAACTGCTAACAGCTTTAATGAGGCATGGATATTTCATTAGCATTTTTTTTTCAGGTTGGGAAACATACTAGAAATAATTTTAGGCAATCTTTTTCCCCAGTATTCAATCTGAACCTCCCCTGGTGCAACCTAAGGCCCTTTTCTCTCATCCTCTCATCCCTGGGAGTAAAGCCCGACTTCTCTCGGCTGTCCCCTCCTGTCTGGGAGTTGAGCAGAGCCAGAAGCTTCCCCTGAACCTCCTTTTCCCCCAGCTGAGCCTCCCCAGCTGCTCCTCATCAGCCTCGCCCCATCGTGCCGGCCGGGACCACTCCCACCTTGACGAAGAAGGTTTTTCCGTCGCAGTTGCACCTGGAGAAGACGGAGTCGATGGGCGAGGGGATGCCCCAGCCGTCGGTGATCCGGCGGGGGTTTGTGGTCGGTGGACTCCGGCCGTTTAGCAGCCAATAATAGTGGCCTGGAGGGGGGGATAGGCGTGAGGGGCGCCGGGGACAGCGAGGGACAGCGCCGTCCTGCCCCCGGGGGACGAGGCTGAGCCGGCCCCTTGAGGGGTCTGAGGGGACGGACTCGGCTCGGGAGAGTTCCGTGAGGGGTGAGTGGCACCGGGGAGAGTGAGGGAGGAGAAAGAGGAGGAAGAGCGACGGGGCAGGTGAAGGAGGAAGAGGAGGAAGTGATGGTGAAGGTGAAGGATTGGGTTGGGGAAAGGTGAGAGAGGAGGAGAAAGAAGGCTGGGGTAGGTGAGGAAGGAGCTCTGGCGCTGTGCGGGGGAAGGAGGAGGGCCGGGGCCGGTGAAGGAGGAGCGGGGCCACGCCGAGGCAGGTGGAGGATGGTTCGGAGCTGCCTCACCTCGGAAGACGGCCAGGGTGCCATTGGGCAGGGCCACCATGCCGTCCGCTGGCTTGCCGCTGCACAGGTCCTTCTCGTCGTTCCTCTCTGCAAAACACAGCCAGGTGGGTTTGTTTAAGGTTCCACAAGAACCGCCTTAGCTTTCCCCTTGGCCCCGCCGCTGGGCCACGGATTAATTCCTCATTGGGGATGTGTTCTCAGGAAGGTCGGCTCTGGTGCTATGGCCCCGGCAGTGCCGAGTGACCAGGTGTGGGTGTCCTTGCTTGTTGCCACCTAAGTACCTATAATTCAGGCAAATGCCTACAAACACCTTATGTGCTACATGCTTTAGGATTTTATTGTTCCTTTAAGCTACTTTAGCAGCTTCTCTTCCCTCTTGTTATTAAAAAAAAAGCATTTATGCTTCCTTTCAGTTAAATATATATATATATGCAGTTAAATATAAAGGAAGGATGAATCTCTTTTAGACTGAAATTCAAGTATTTTGCACCTAAACTCCTAGTTTTTTCCCCCAAAACATCTTTCAGTATCTGATTCAAAAATTGCTCAAGAACTTGCAGGCTATGTCTGATTAAAATAAAGAGAAGGCATGAAAAAGGCTGTGGCAGAAAGCAAGGCAAGAGACTTCTTGTCTCTTTTATATGATATTTTTAGTTGGTGGCTACAAAATACCAGGTTAGGTACCATGAGGGAGGGTGGGTATGCAGCCTGACTTCTAGCAATTTTTTCATGGGATTTAGAAATTTGTCATCTTTTTCCTTGACTTTTTGTCTGTTTGCATCTTCTACAATAGCAAGCAGGAGGAGGAGAAACTTATAGCAAACAATTTTCAGTAGGACCAATTACTGAAACCAATTATTGTAGATCGTGTTCTAAAGTACCTGGAGGATTTAATTAATTCCACAGCTGCTGATGCTTTTGTACCTGCTGGAATGCACTTACCTGGTGTTTCTCCAGGGAACATTGGCAGGTCCCCAACTTGTATTAAAGGCTTGTTTATCTCGGGCTCTTCTTTTCCTGGCAGAGTTTCAGGTTCAGTTGGATGAGGTTCTTCTAAGGCCTCAGTGACCTCCTGGAAATGTATTGTTGGCTTGGATGTCCCATTAGACACAAGATACATTTCTTCTATTGTGTCCTTTTTATCCCTTGTTGTGGTTTCTTTGGTAACTGTAGTTACCTCTTCTTTGGCAGTACCAGGGGCCTTTTCAGTGACATCTTCCATTTCTTTTCCAGGTGTGGTGCCCATTTCTTGAATGGTTGTTTCCTCTTTTTTACCGGCTGTTGTCATCTCCACAATAACACAAGCAGCACCTGGGCTCTCTTTGTCTGCTGCTGGCCCAGCCTGCTCAGTGTCAGTAGTTGTCTCTTTTTCTTTTGGTGTTACAGCCTCACTAGGCTGAGGAGTTGAATCTTCCTCGATGGTTGTTACCAGCACAGTGTGACTGGGCAAGGGAGCTGTGGCTGCTGTTGTTGCAGTCTTGGTGTCTGTAGAAGTTGTTTCTGATTCAGCTGCTGCAGTGACAGGTTCCTTGGCCATAGGAGCTGCGTTTGGAACATCATCCATACCTTTAGGAGAATCACCTGGTTTAGCTGTTGTCACCATAGCTACAGTAACTGTGTCTTTCCCAGTTGCAGCTGTGAAAATGTCTTTAAGAAGAGTAGTTCTGTCTTTCTTTGGTGTTGTTGTCTCCTTGATCTCCATTGTGGTATCTGAAAGCATTGTCCCTGCCCCAGTTGTGGGGGAATCCTTCCCAACTGTTGTGGGTGCAGCACTACTCGGAGAAGCTGTGGCTTTACTGGCCTCAGGGGCTGCAGGGGTGGTTGGGGAGTCAGCATCCTCTGCTTCAGGGGTGGTGGGAGTGTCTGCCTTGGTGGTTGGCTCTTCTGGGGTTGTTTCTTCAGGTTTTGGGGTAGTAGGAGAGTCTGCCATTGTTGGCTCCTCTGAGGTTGGCTCCTCTGGGGTCGTTTCTTCAGGTTTGGGGGTGGTGGGAGAGTGTGCCAAGGTGGTTGGCTCCTCTGGGGTTGTCTTTTCTGGTTTAGGAGTTGTTGGCCCCTCTGGAGTTGTCTCCTCTGGTTTGGGAGTTGTCGCCTCCCCTGGGGTTGTTTCTACTGGTTTAGGAGTTGGCTCTTCTGGTTTAGGAGTTGTGGGCTCCTCTGGGGTTGTCTCCTCTGCTTTAGGAGTTGTGGGCTCCTCTGGGGTGGTCTCCTCTGCTTTAGGAGTTGTGGGCTCCTCTGGGGTGGTCTCCTCTGCTTTAGGAGTTGTGGGCTCCTCTGGAGTTGTCTCCTCTGCTTTAGGAGTTGTGGGCTCCTCTGGGGTGGTCTCTTCTGCTTTAGGAGTTGTGGGCTCCTCTGGGGTGGTCTCTTCTGCTTTAGGAGTTGTGGGCTCCTCTGGAGTGGGCTCCTCTGCTTTAGGAGTTGTGGGCTCCTCTGGGGTGGTCTCTTCTGCTTTAGGAGTTGTGGGCTCTTCTGCTTTAGGAGTTGTGGGCTCCTCTGGGGTGGTCTCTTCTGCTTTAGGAGTTGTGGGCTCCTCTGGGGTGGTCTCTTCTGCTTTAGGAGTTGTGGGCTCCTCTGCTTTAGGAGTTGTTGGTTCTTCTGGGGTTGACTCTTCTGGTTTAGGAGTTGTGGGCTCCTCTGGGGTTGTGGGCTCCTCTGGGGTGGTCTCCTCTGCTTTAGGAGTTGTGGGCTCCTCTGGGGTGGTCTCCTCTGCTTTAGGAGTTATGGGCTCCTCTGGGGTGGTCTCTTCTGCTTTAGGAGTTGTGGGCTCCTCTGGAGTGGGCTCCTCTGCTTTAGGAGTTGTGGGCTCCTCTGGGGTGGTCTCCTCTGCTTTAGGAGTTGTGGGCTCCTCTGCTTTAGGAGTTGTGGGCTCCTCTGGGGTGGTCTCTTCTGCTTTAGGAGTTGTGGGCTCCTCTGGGGTGGTCTCTTCTGCTTTAGGAGTTGTGGGCTCCTCTGCTTTAGGAGTTGTTGGTTCTTCTGGGGTTGACTCTTCTGGTTTAGGAGTTGTGGGTTCCTCTGGGGTTGTGGGCTCCTCTGGGGTTGTCTCCTCTGGTTTGGGGGTGGTGGGCTCCTCTGGTGTTGGTGTTGTTGGCTCCTCGGGGGTGGTCTCCTCTGGTTTGGGGGTGGTGGGCTCCTCTGGTGGTGGTGTTGTGGGCTCCTCTGGTGGGGGGGTTGTCTCATCAGGTGTTGGTGTGGTTGGTTCTTCTGGGGTTGTCTCTTCTGGTGCTGGCGTTGTTGGCTCCTCTGGTGCTGGCGTTGTCGGCTCCTCTGGGGTCGTCTCTTCTGGTGTTGGTGTTGTCGGCTCCTCTGGGGTCGGCTCCTCTGGTGCTGGTGTTGTCGGCTCCTCTGGGGTCGGCTCCTCTGGTGCTGGTGTTGTCGGCTCCTCTGGGGTCGTCTCCTCTGGTGCTGGTGTTGTCGGCTCCTCTGGGGTCGTCTCCTCTGGTGTTGGTGTTGTCGTCTCCTCTGGTGTAGGTGTTGTCGGCTCCTCTGGGGTCGGCTCCTCTGGTGGGGGGGTTGTCGGCTCCTCTGGTGTGGGGGTTGTCGGCTCCTCTGGGGTTGTCTCCTCTGGTGCTGGTGTTGTTGGTTCTTCTGGGGTTGTCTCCTCTGGTGCTGGTGTTGTTGGTTCTTCTGGGGTTGTCTCCTCTGGTGCTGGTGTTGTCGGTTCTTCTGGGGTTGTCTCCTCTGGTGCTGGTGTTGTTGGTTCTTCTGGGGTTGTCTCCTCTGGTGCTGGTGTTGTCGGCTCCTCTGGGGTTGTCTCCTCTGGTGTGGGGGTTGTTGGTTCTTCTGGAGTTGTCTCCTCTGGTGCTGGTGTTGTTGGTTCTTCTGGGGTTGTCTCCTCTGGTGCTGGAGTTGTCGGCTCCTCTGGGGTTGTCTCCTCTGGTGCTGGAGTTGTCGGCTCCTCTGGGGTTGTCTCCTCTGGTGCTGGTGTTGTCGGCTCCTCTGGGGTTGTCTCCTCTGGTGCTGGTGTTGTCGGCTCCTCTGGGGTTGTCTCCTCTGGTGCTGGAGTTGTCGGCTCCTCTGGGGTTGTCTCCTCTGGTGCTGGAGTTGTCGGCTCCTCTGGGGTTGTCTCCTCTGGTGCTGGAGTTGTCGGCTCCTCTGGGGTTGTCTCCTCTGGTGCTGGAGTTGTCGGCTCCTCTGGGGTTGTCTCCTCTGGTGCTGGAGTTGTCGGCTCCTCTGGGGTTGTCTCCTCTGGTGCTGGAGTTGTCGGCTCCTCTGGGGTTGTCTCCTCTGGTGCTGGAGTTGTCGGCTCCTCTGGGGTTGTCTCCTCTGGTGCTGGTGTTGTCGGTTCCTCTGGGGTTGTCTCCTCTGGTGCTGGTGTTGTCGGTTCCTCTGGGGTTGTCTCCTCTGGTGCTGGTGTTGTCGGTTCCTCTGGGGTTGTCTCCTCTGGTGCTGGTGTTGTCGGTTCCTCTGGGGTTGTCTCCTCTGGTGCTGGTGTTGTCGGTTCCTCTGGGGTTGTCTCCTCTGGTGCTGGTGTTGTCGGTTCTTCTGGGGTTGTCTCCTCTGGTGCTGGTGTTGTCGGTTCCTCTGGGGTTGTCTCCTCTGGTGCTGGTGTTGTCGGCTCCTCTGGGGTTGTCTCCTCTGGTGCTGGTGTTGTCGGCTCCTCTGGGGTTGTCTCCTCTGGTGCTGGTGTTGTCGGTTCTTCTGGGGTTGTCTCCTCTGGTGCTGGTGTTGTCGGTTCTTCTGGGGTTGTCTCCTCTGGTGCTGGTGTTGTCGGTTCTTCTGGGGTTGTCTCCTCTGGTGCTGGTGTTGTCGGTTCTTCTGGGGTTGTCTCCTCTGGTGCTGGTGTTGTCGGTTCTTCTGGGGTTGTCTCCTCTGGTGCTGGTGTTGTCGGTTCTTCTGGGGTTGTCTCCTCTGGTGCTGGTGTTGTCGGTTCTTCTGGGGTTGTCTCCTCTGGTGCTGGTGTTGTCGGTTCTTCTGGGGTTGTCTCCTCTGGTGCTGGAGTTGTCGGCTCCTCTGGAGTTGTCTCCTCTGGTGCTGGAGTTGTCGGCTCCTCTGGAGTTGTCTCCTCTGGTGCTGGAGTTGTCGGCTCCTCTGGAGTTGTCTCCTCTGGTGCTGGAGTTGTCGGCTCCTCTGGAGTTGTCTCCTCTGGTGCTGGTGTTGTCGGTTCTTCTGGGGTTGTCTCCTCTGGTGCTGGTGTTGTCGGTTCTTCTGGGGTTGTCTCCTCTGGTGCTGGTGTTGTTGGTTCTTCTGGGGTTGTCTCCTCTGGTGCTGGTGTTGTTGGTTCTTCTGGGGTTGTCTCCTCTGGTGCTGGTGTTGTTGGTTCTTCTGGGGTTGTCTCCTCTGGTGGTGGGGTTGTTGGTTCTTCTGGGGTTGTCTCCTCTGGTGCTGGTGTTGTTGGTTCTTCTGGGGTTGTCTCCTCAGGCGTGGGGCTGGTGGGAGCCTCGCTGTCGGTTGCTGCTGCCTCGGTGGCATCAGGGGTTGGGTCTTGCGTTGGGGGGAGGTCGGTTGGGTCCATTTCAGTCGGTGGCTCCTCTGTGGCATCAGGGGTCACATCTTCTGCTGTATCTGGAGTGGGAGGCTCCGCTTCGGTCGCTGGTTCCTCTGTGGCCTCAGGGGTTGTCTCTGCAGGTTCTGTGGTTGGGGCAGGAGTGGTCACTTGGATTTCAGGATCTACAGAACAAATACAAATGTGGTTCAGCCATTGGAGTTACCATGAAGGTAGGTATCGCCCATAATTGTGTTACACCCATTAGCTACAGGTGCTTCCTTTGGAATAGCGAGTCCTTTTTTAACAGCCAAACTAACCTGGACCCGGTGAAATGGGAGTTCCTTTTGTCTGCATGGAACTTTGCAGCAGCTCAGCTCAGTTTTAGGTGGTCCCTTTTGGCCAACCTGGTGCTGGCCCAAGTTCAGGGTTTAGTTTGGTGCCTGTTGGTGGAGCTGCCAGGGGTTTCCTGCTGCTTTCATAGAAAGGAAGCCACTTTGAAAAATAGTCCTTCTAACAGAACACTTCCCTTCTCAGTCTGTTATTTTGATTTATTCCACTGCCCTACATTATAACTCAGTCTGCACCAACAACCTGGAATCAGTGGAGAGAGGTAGGGAAGCAGGATGAAAATCATTCCTGAACACAGAGCCCTGACTGCATGTCCTGCTGTATCTTTGTTCCTTGGGTTGTTTTCCTCATTGTGATGTATGGATTTAAGGCTCTCTTGTATTTATAGTTACATTGATATCAGTCAAATTGTTATTCAGCAAGAAGAAGAGTAAATTTTTCTGCATTTCAATCTCTCCCTAAGTATTCTCTCTCTGAGATTTTGCAGATTAGTTCTGCATTCACAAATGTTGTGTGTTTAGTATGAGCAGAACATTGCAGAATAGGTTTCACTCCCATCACATGTATCTGAAATACCATAAGCCAGCTGGGATCCTATTAATGGTTATTTGAGTTTTCTTTAATTTTGTTTCATTTAATCCACTATAAGGTTTTTAGGATTTTGGGGGGGTTCTTTAGTTGGTTTTTGTTTTGTTTTGGGGTTTTGTTTTGGTTTTTTTTGTTTTGTTGTTTTTTTTTTTTGTAACAGGAAATTGGAACAGCAGAAAATAAGTACTCCAAATCTAAAACAAAAAATAAGAAGAGGGTGGGAGGATTAAAATATTGACTGACTTCTAGTGTCTTTTCAGTTGTGCTTCAAGTTCAAACTGCTCTCCTGAGTTATCACTTCAAACACTGGAGCGCATTACCAAAGAGCACAGGAAAGCAGCATATTTTCCAGTCAGAATAAATAAATAAATGTGTTCTCTGAAGCAGCATAAGGCTGGCTTGATTGAAGCTAAAGAAACCTGCTAGGACGTTTTCCTGTGCTGCCAGTTCACCACTGTCCCACCCTTCCTGTTCCAGCCATGGATGCTGTCCAAGACTGACAATGGTCTGTACCCTGTGTTTGGAGGATGTGTGTGACCATCCAACAGAGACACAGGAGACATCACCTCTCTGCACCGTCTGTGCTGAGTGAACTCTCCAACGTCCTGAGGGCTTGGTGAGGTAATCAGTTTATAAACCAAGTGCTTCCAAGCTTGCTAACTGTCTGGTAATGTCTAGGATCAGCTTTCTATTTCCAGAGCAGGAAAATGGTCTTTAATTTTCCTTCAGGTAACACCCATCCTGGTGCATCCATATACTTGCCTACCTTCCACAGCTTCCTCTGGTGACTCTTCCTCATCTGTGGAGGACCTTTTAGATGTTGATTTGTTGTCTGGAGGAGTCTCTGGGGTTGGCTTTTCTGTGTGTGCTGAAAGAGAGAAGTGCTCCCATTAACAGATTATTTTATCTTTATAAGTGCTTGGTGTCAACTGTATAAGAGTGATCACAACATTTCAGTGACCCTCTTCCACTCAAAACTAAGTTTCTTTTCATTTATAGGATTCTTTACACAATTATTTGTGTGAAAAAGAGCAAAAATACCCTTTTGATCCTGAAGTGTTTCATCACAGATGGGAGCAATATTTTTCCCAGAAGTTTGAGGTGAGGCATTATTAGCTAATGGCAACTTTGAGGTGGGAAAAGAAATTAATTCTGAGCAGAGCTCTATGTTCTGAAAATTTGCCTTATTTTTTTTTCACTACAGATGACTTTTTACCACTTGACTTTCACTACACATAACTAACTCTAGTGTAGATAGGAGAGCTGTCACATTAGCCAAGAATTTGCTTTGATAATCTCCTTGCAGCTCTTCAGATGTGATAATTCTACATAAATGATTGTTTTGGAGAGATATTTTAGAAGAAATGGTTTTCTTGAAGGAGACAGGAGCTACAAAGCAGTTGTGGACCAAGAAAACAACATGGGTATTAAGCTAACTTCTAGCAGGCTGAGTTTCAGGAGAAATAGGAGGTTTTGTTCAGATTTTTCAGCTCTGAAGAGTGAATGGAAATTCAGTTGTATCCAGTAAGAGCCAGATAATATTTGGTAATTAATTGTTGGCCAAATTGTATAATTGGAAATTAGCTACTGGCATAGCCTTGTAGAAGGAACTTGTTAGTTGTGAAGGAAATGTGGTGGAGCTCAGGGAACTGGCCAAATTATTTTGATCCAGCCAAGGGAGCTGGTAACTACCAGAGGTGTGTGTAATCAGCTTTTTACAAAAGGAATGGATTTTTGTCTCCAAGGGATGACCATGATGTCAAAAGATTTACTTTCATAGTGAGCTAGTGCTCAAAGTAAGGAAGGTTGGGTATTGCACTATATCCTGAAACATTTATTGAGGAAGAGAGAGAAATTGTAGTTGAAGCTGAATGACTCTTTTGAAAGCCAGTTGTTGGGGAGGGGAGCATTTTGTTTATGTGTGTACATGTATTCAGGGATTAAAGCGCTTCTGGAGAACAGGGAAGTTAACAGTGAGCTCTGGATATGCACCGAACACTTGCCTTTACTGTACAGGAAAACATGTTCAGAGGATGCTAAAACAGCAAATTTATTCCAGGAGGTTTAACAGGTTTCTCAGTTATTCACACATAACATAAATAGTAAAATACTGAGTACAGTGGTTTGGGGGATTTCTGCTGGATTTTTTGACAAAAAATGATAGCAAAGTTTAGTACAACACAGAAGAAATTATTTAAGATTAGAAACAGTTGATTAATTCTTCATTCTATTTTAACTGAAGAAGTGAAATGGTTTAACAGTGTTTTGTGAGTGTTTGGGTGTGAAAAACTGAGCAGAAAGAGAGAAATATTAAGCAGCCTCATAAGCAGCAAATTCACCTCAATATGCTTCCAAGACACTTCTCTAGACATTCAGTCAAAAGACATAGAGTCTGTCTGCTGGATAAAGACTCTATTTCAGCCTAAATTACTGTGCAATTGTGTGGCAAAGCCAACCCACTATCCCAGCACTTGGGGACCACTTGGGTGAAGAGAACCAAAGGATAATTTTGACTTGTTGTGTGTTACACTGCAGGCTTTTGGAATTGGCTGCCTTGGGGGTGGGCTGCTCTGTGGATGCAACGACCTCGTGCCAAACCACACTTGTCAAGTGTGTTGACAGAAATTAATTTAGGTCTGTAGGTACCAGAAAGTTTAAGGACATAATGGAATTAAACATATCCTGTTGTTGTTTTTTAGAGTTCATTTGCTGGTGTCCTTAAAGCTACGTGAGGGTGGGACTGCACCTCCAGATCTGTGCCTTTGTGCTCAGCTGAAACCCCACCAGGCTCTGCAGAAAAGGACAGAACAAAAGAAGTGACTGATTCTGCCCTGGACTGAACTTGCAGCCTAAAGGTAAAATGTGTGTTTTCTTAAATTTTTTCTTGCTACACTGTGAACATGTGACATCCCTGCAGGATGGGTTTCTGTGTTGGGCTGCTCTTCCCACGTTGGATTTGACATGGGGAGAAGGCAGGATGTGCATCTCTAGTATGCTGCCAGTGACTGTGGTGGCCTCAAGCAAGTGGTCTGGAGCTCCAGGTAGTACAATCCCAAGGCATAGAGTAGCCATTCCCCACTTTTGGATGGGTGGGGATTTTAAGGGGGTTGAACCTTCCACCTTGTTTTTATAAGATGAACTAAACATTTTACTGCAATTCATTTATTCATCTGCCTAGTGGAAAAGGCCCTGGGGGTGCTGGTGCTACATGTGAGCCAGGTGTGCCCAGATGGACCAAGGGCCAATGGCCCTTGGGCTGTGCCAGCCCTGGTGTGGGCACAGGCCCAGGGCAGTGGCTGTGCCCTGTGCTGGCACTGCTGAGGGACCTCGAGTGCTGTGTCCAGTTCCGGCCCTCGTGGCCAGAGAGACCTTGAGGGGCTGGAGCGTGTCCAGGGAAGGGAACGGGGCTGGGGAAGGGTCTGGAGCATCAGGAGGGGCTGAGGGAGCTGGGAAAGGGGCTCAGCCTGGAGCAAAGGAGGCTCAGGGGGCCCTTGTGGCTCTGCACAACTCCCTGACAGGAGGGGACAGCTGGGGGGGTTGGGCTCTGCTCCCAGGAACATGGGATAGGACAAGAGGAAATGACCCCTAGGAGTTCTAGGGGAGGTTTAGGTTACCAGGCTGCCCAGGGCAGGGGTGGAGTCCCCATCCCTGGAGGGATTTAAAAGCTGTGTGAATGTGGCACTTGGGGACATGTTTTAGGGGTGGCCTTGGAAGTGCTGGGGGAATGGTTGGATATAATGGTCTCAAAAGATCTTTTCCAAACAAATCTGTTCTGATTCCCCAGCTTCTCTCGCTGAATTCTATTATTGAGGTGCAGACCTTATCTTTACACATGGTATTCTGAGTAAGGTCTCTGACAGAGCATGGCTAGTGCCAAAAGAGCCTAATGTAAAATACAACTTTAACCTCAGAATTCACATCTTGGTGATGACTTCCAGGACATCTACCTGGATGTTTCTGTAAAGTGTTCATGCTTGAGAAGCTGGCCAATTTGTTTGTGAAATTAGGTTTTGTTATTTTTGTTCTATTTTCTTTCATTTGGTTTTGTTTGTTTTGTTCTGTTTTCTGTTTTTCAGTTGTCACCAAAGCCCACAGAGTTTTGTTTATGATAAAGCACCTGTGCTTATATATGTCTTTGAGAAACAGTTGGAGAAATGCCTTACCCTCTTTACAGTGCTTGGCGTAGTCTGGGCAGCATTTTCCGTAGCGCTCGCAGTCGGCATCGCAGTCACACTCCCTGCCCCTCTCGAAGGCTTCGAAGCAGCGTCCCTCGCAGGAGGCGGCTGCAGGGACACAGAGCACAGTCAGGCTTTGGGCCAGCTCACCTGCAACGCTGGGACCTCTCTACAGTGAAGTCATTGGCTCGAGCTGTGCTAAGAGCAGCTCCGTAAAATCAGGCGCTTATCCTGGTCTGATCCAGGCTTTGTCTGTGATGTGGGGTTTGGATCAGGCAGTGCCACCAGAAGGGCACTGCGCCATGGCAGTGACATTGGATTGACAGCGCGATAAAACCTGACTGCCGCGTTCACTTTAGCCAGGTCCCACCGTAGGAGGCTTCTGCTTCCCCAGCCACAGAGCAGTGATCTCAGGAGTGATCTTGAGATTCTGGGCTGGGTTTGCAGGAAAGTGTTCACCAGGGTATCCCTTTGCAACAAGAATGATGTGTCTACCAAATAATTTCTGAAAAATAATTCACTTAATTAGGTCACAACTGAGTGTACCTGGTGTGTCCAGGCAAACGCTGCAACCTAATTGTGTGAACAGGTTATCCAAGTTACCTCAAGAGACCAGTTTGGAACTATCTAGTACAGTTCTTAAATTATTAGTACTAAAGGACTATATACCATGTTTTGACATGATTAATAACCACATGATTTTAATATTTCATGTTTGGCTAACTTCTGAAACTTCACTGACCAAACTGCTATTTCATATCAAATAATGACCATGTTGTGTTAGAAAGAGTGGGTACAGCTATTAGACTTCAGAAAAAGAACTTTCTCTATGTAGGTCACTATTGAAGTCATTGCCTCTGTAGCACACAAGGCATAAAATCATGTTATACAATTAAATCAGTATCAAGAAAAATTAGGATTGCTGTATAGGCAAATTCTGAACATCTTTGGATTAGTGCAGTTGTGGAATCAGCATTGATGGCAATGGATCCATCCCACATGCACAGGTGAGAGTTATTTTTATTATCTTAGGGAAATTTTTATTCGTAAATAATGTCTGGCATTTCTGTCATTTAGTCAGTGTTGATTCCACACTAGCTGGATAACAGTCTTTAGACATGCCTGCCTGCATCCTTTCAGGATTGCACCTGCTGTGTTTGCCTGGACTCACTGATTTAGAGTAGAACAGGGAAGACTTCCTCTAGCCTTAAACTTTTGTTAAATGTTGTGCAGAAGCCAGAATACCTTTTGAATCTGACCCACAATGAATAAATAGCCTCCATATTAAAATGCCACACTCTGCATCTTCAGCTCTGAGAAATGCTGATGTCCCCCCACAAAGCAAAATGAGGATGGGGAAGACTGAAAGGCAAAGTGTCCCCAGTGTGTGTCAGGGCAGCAGAACTGGAATTTTAGGGAGTGCTAAGTCTGCATTTTGAACAACACTCAGTGGTGTAGCTGGTTCTGAGAAGTATTTGTTACTCCTGTAACCCTACTGGAACCACAGTGTAGTATAACAAACTACTGTTACCCAAATTGCTGACATTTCTGACATTAGCAATTCCTAAGAAAATGCTTTTAATGCTCAGTAAAGCAATAATCTCTTTTTATTTACATTGTGAAGTTTTGCCTATAAATAAAGCATAAATTAATACTCGTCCAAACACCTTTTCCAGCAGACTCTGGACATGGTTCTGATCCAGAGTCAATTTTTGTCCATGGAAGGACACCCTGGCTTTGGATTAAACCCCACAGCATCCACACTTCTTAAATTTGAGTTGGAATATGTCAGAATTTCTTTCTGCAAAACCCTAAATTGGCTTTTAACACTTTTTTTCTTTGTATAAGAGACAGACACATACAGTACAAATGCACTAAGGAGTAGAAAACAAACAGTTTTTGCCAATCTTGCCGAGTTCTGCTTTCATAAAAAGCAAAATTCTTTGCTTGGCAATAATACACAATTTTCTTTGGATTGCAAGAGGCTATCCTGAATATTTGAGGGGAACAACAATACATGTATGAGAGGGAACAAGGACACAGCAAACCAACAGACATTTAAGCATTCAGAGGAGACACTGGTGTGGTAGGGAGATGGGAGGGGAATTTTGAGGAGAGGAACTGGCTGTGTTTGGGAACTTACCCACTGTGCAGACTTTCCTGAAGTCAGGGCAGCACTCCATGTAGTGGTGACAGTTAAAATCACACTGGCAGTCATGCTCTCTAGAATACCCTGCCCCACATCTCCCTGTACAGCTCGATACATCTAAAATCACACAACACTGGTGTAAGCATTGCCCGACCACAACGGTCCTTAAGGAAATGCTGAATGGAAAAGGACTAAAGTTTCTCTCTTTTTTTCCCTACAGAATGTGGTTTCTTCACTCAGTACTGCAGAAGCTGAGGGCCTGGTGTGACCCCTCCTGAAGGTGTGGGGAGCAGAGGTTTGCTCTGAGCCAGCCTGAGGACCAGCAGCAGCCTGTGTTCAGGTTAGAGGGGTCTTCCACTGAGCTAACTTAACCCTTTTTGTCTGAAAATTAAGGAATCCTTGAGGATTGGTTCTGTAGTATGACCACAGACTTCCAAACTAGCCCCTTAGACAATATATCAGCTTTGCTGATTTACTTTCCAATTTGATTCACCTTCTGTATGATAATAGGTGTGCATCTATACACCCATACCTGACAGACCCCCTAGATGTCTGATTTTTACTGTTGGTAATGCTGTTCCTAATAACCCATCTAATCAGGCTAGCTTGGAAACTGGAGAGCACTGTCGTAATAAATACAGGTCCCTGAAACCATTTTTATTGGAAGTTTCAAAATCTGCCTACTCCCTACACTATATTTTTTCCCTGATGTCAAGGAAGAATTTGGTATCAGCTCTCAGGTTAAGAACAGTTGGGATCTAGCCCTGTAACTCCTATGAAGTACGTTTTGTTAATTAGAAGATTATGTACTAGCAGACTAACAGAAAAGCTCATCCCATAATGGCTTTACTGCCAGACTGCTAGGAAATGCTGGATAACAAGAAATGGTGCAGATAACAGGTGGCAAAACAAGACATCAGGAGGTGTCCTGCTTTAACCTGTGAGCATTCCAGCTCAGCAGTGCCTTGCTGCCTTCTGCTGCCAAATCAGATATTCACCCTGCAACCCTTCCCTTCCTCTGTGAAATCTCTGAAAACACAACCAGCTAACAGCTTCTTCTGGACATGAAACATGCAGGACCGCAAGTGAAGCGTCCCTAAATACAAACAAAGAAGCTGAACAATCAGCAAGCCCAAACAGATAATCAGCTGAAACATTGAGGAACAACAAGGAAATAACATGTAACACAACACAACACCAAAGACAACTTCTAGCACCACACACTCCATGTGTGTGTGTCTGAAGGAAGAGCATGGGATAACAAATATTATATCTGTTACATATACAGTGATTCTCAGACAGTACTTGTAATGCTTGTTATCACTTTGCTACAAATAGAAAAGTGGAACCAAGGGATAACTGGAGACATTAATGGACCTGAGTTACTGGGCTATTAATACAGCAGTTGAAAAGACAAAATGGACATCTTCCTTTATGGGTATATGCCAAATATATTAAACCCTTCTTCCTTTATGGAAAGAAAATAAGTGCAATAGTTATATGGATAATATGTAGTAGTCCAATAGTTGCACCTCTTCACTCATTTGTTTCTTTTAAGTTTATGACTTGTAGGTTATGGAGTTACTTGTAAGGAAAGTGCCTGAATGGTCCTGGTTGCTGTTGGCAAAAGTCTTGATTTTTGCTGAAACTGGTGGGAAGGCATCACTTATCAAGGGGTCAATGTAAGGTTACATCTGGCATGGGGGGTGCCCTGAGGAACTTCTTGGATACATGACATTGTGCTTTCTGCTATCAAGTAGTAATAAATCATTTTCTACCAGCAAGTAATACCTAGTGTCATCCCCCTGAAAATTTGAGAGCTATTAGAAAACTGCAACAGCACAGGATTTGCTAGGGGGCATGTTCTGCTTCATGTAACAGTGTTACTTTAGTAAGGAATCAATCATAGAGCTTGAAGTATCATTAGAGAAATAATTCCCCAAATTTGCCTCAGTAGTGTAATAATGGTGCATTTAATGGGAAAGCCCTTAGCAGGGTAGAGACCTTCCTTTCCCTGAGCTTACTGAAATATTTTTAGCCAACCTTTGTGGATATTCTCATGTTAGATTCTTTCTAAATCAAACTGCAAATCACTAGGGCTAAATACATTAGTATGAGGGCAGGAGGCTCTGTAAACTGTCTACAGAAAAAGTAATAGATTCATATACATTTTGCAATATACATTTTGCATTATATTTATATTTTTATGTTATTCCTCAAAAAAAAGAGGACCATGCTACACTAAAATTTATTTATGAAACTATTCAGTGATGATAAAACTGAATAATATTTCCTATCTGAATAAAGTTCTAGAAAGTAGTATTTTTATGAAGGTGCATTTGAAATATTCTTAATGTGTGTCAGGCACACACTCCTAGACACCCTCCCTTCAGCTTTGTGTGTTACAGTACCTTGAGAAGACACCTCTGGAATCAAGGACAGTGAAAGGACCACCAGGGATAAGCATAGTATGTTCCATATGATCATAACTTTCAGGTACGACATCATTCCTAAAAAGAAATAATCTCACATCACTATCTGCAATTCACTTAATTCATAATTTTTTTAATGCTGTGCATATCTTTATAGATAAAGACTAACTTGATAAAAATGTAAAATAAATAATAAAATTGTTCAAGGAAAAATCACTAATTTAGATTTTCTCCATAAATTCCCTCTTGATTATTAGTCAATTAGCCATTAAATTCTGCAGTAAGACTATAGAAATTCATTATGAACAAGTAATAGAAATAAATTTTTGCAGAATTCTATTACATGAAGACTACAGTCACAGTAATCTTCTAACATAAACTTCAGCACAACTATGTTTAAAGTTATAATACTGATAAATGAAAATCTATAATAAAACCAAATACTGACAGAATATTAGTTATTCAGCAACATAATTTTATAAACCATAACCTAACATTGAAATATGTCAAATGGAAACATAGGCTAAAAGTAAATCTTCTTTCAAAAGGAAAACTTTGGATTTTCTGTCCCAGTTCCTTGTTCTCCTACTGAAGAAGAGCTCTGGGTAGAGACAGGTGTAGCACTTACCTAGCAGAGAGTGTGTCTGCTCCCAGGGCTGTTCCAGAGTCCTTATATATTGCTTTGGAGCTGTGCTGGGGTCAGGTAATTAGGCAGTTTGTTAAACACACCACCACTGACAGCTCATGACAGCAAACTTTCCACAGGGCTTGGAAGAGGGCCCAGATGACTAGACTAACACAACATCTGGAAAATACTCCCATTAAGAAAAACGATTACAGAAAAACTAAATAGGGACTTACTAGTCAAAACACATTTTGATTACTGAGAGAAATGAACAAATTGTCCTCAATGCAGCTGGAAGGCATTAGAGAGTATTGCAGAGCAATAAAAAATCATCACAGGCAAATGCTGAGTGTATTTTCTTTCCTGTCAAATGGAGCTTAGGTGACAGTAGCCTGAAATGATGCAGTATTATCTGCTACTGATGGTGTATCTTCTCCAAAATGTTGTGAGAGCTAATTCATACAGACATAAGTAATTCACCACTTGCACTGAATATTTTGTACTTTCCCCTGAACTGAATGGAAACGCTGCCAAGGCATTGGCTAGAAATCAAAGAACTGAGTCAAATCACAAAGTTATTGAACATATGATATGTAAGACATCAAAAATGAATGAAAGAGGCCTTAATTGTTTTAATGGTCTTTGTGTTCATTGGTTCCAGATTTGGGATAGTGGAAATGGTCATTTGTAACTCTCAGAGACAGAGTAGGTTTTTACAGTCCTGACTGTTGGTCTTTAGGAGGGATCTTTTATTCAGAAATTATCCTAAAGGCCAGGAAACTTTTAATATACCTCCTTTTTTATATTACTTGAGCCCCAAAGTAGTTCTGTTAACCCCAAAAATAAATATGGTATAGTACACACTGATCCTAGTTGAGGAAAGCACTTCAAATGAGAATAAGTCTCTTAAGGAAAATAATGCAGAACAGGAGTGGGTTTAAACATGTGTTTGACTGTTTCCCTCACTTGGTTCATTGACTGAAAGCTTTAGTAATTTTATGCTAGAATTTCTAATTTCTGTATTATCACAATAGAGAGATTTCCATTCAGTCTTTCTGCATAGTGTGCAGATGGAAGAACTATTTGCTTTAATTAAATGGAGTAACTATTAGTTTACTTTGTGGGAAAGGGAAGACTGAGTTTTTATGGAGTTTATTCAAGGTCATACAAAAAGAAGTGTATATTAGATGTCTTATAATAAGACATCTTATTTTCCTTAGTGGACCATAACCTTGATAAAGAAACCCTGGCTTGGGTTGAATGGTACCTGTCTATGATTATTTGAAGCCTGGGGAAGAAGTACTTGTTAGAGTAGCCAAATAGGATCAATAAGATGAGAAGTTTCCTAGAAAAGTACTAAAATCCTTATAACTTAATTTATAATTTGATCAAGCAAAACATCTAAGACTGAATTAATGATTGTATCCTTACTTTGAGATCCATGACATTGAGTAGATTTGTTGTTTTTTCCATCAGTTCACAGCTGGTGCACCTGTGAGCCCCAGTAAATACTGGCTGGCTACTTGAGGTGAATATATGTGTATGTGTGTGTATGACTCAATAAAAAAACCCCAGAAGATCAAAATTATTATCATTTTTCTGTCAACATGCCAGGGCTCAACTGAGTCATACAGATGGGTACAAACACACTTGAAAAATGGGTAGTTGTGACTGGCTGCTACATTGTGTTTTGGATGTTCCTTTTGGTAGGATTGTGTTTTTAATTTCTCTTCTGAATTGAACTTTTGGGTTGTTAGAGGTCACATGGAGTTGCAAAGTTTGAGTGAAAAGAATTTGGTAAGTGGATCAACAGGCTGTGAAGAGCACCTAAGTCACCTTAACATTGCAGTGTCACTGTGACATTGAGATGGGTGGGCAGATAACACTAAGGTGAGGGCTGATCCTGACCAGCTTTTGCTGGTCTTCCCTTTGTTTTTAGGCATGGAATTTGAAATCCTGCTTTTAATTATTGTTATAGATTCTCATAGGTGGCAAGAAAAGTATTCAGGGCACACATACTGGGCAGAGTGTGCTCCTGCTGCTGTGCCCAGGTTGGAGTGCCAGGGAGAATGGCCCAGAGAGGAATGGGGAGCTGCATCCCAAACACAGATATAACATAGGGAAAGTACAAAATGTTTCATTTCCTTCTTTTGAGTTCAGCTGCCTTTAGGGAAACAAGACTCATTACATTTGCTCATCATTCCTGATGAGTAAATAAGGATACATGGCTTCAGCAGCATTTTATTTTGTCCTAAAGAAGCACATGGGACCTAATATTGTGGTTAGTCACTCCAATCAAAAAGAGAGAACCTTATTTTTTGTCTGATTTTTATTGCTTCACTTAATATCAACTGGCCAGTCATTTGATTTGGCAAGGCTTTCAGGCAACGCAAACCCTTCATCAAAACTTGGCATGTGTATCCAAAGTCTTATCTGAACTTCCAACTTCCCTAGTAGGTTGCATTTTAAAAAAAAAGAAGAGGTGAAAAATAAGCCCTTCCTTTTTCTGTGTACTGCAATGATCCCAATTACAGCACAATTGCTGTTATTTTTTGTTTCTGGATGGATTCCTTACACTGATGCCTGTGACCCAGCAGTGCCTTTTCAGGCCTTGGCTTTTCCACAAGCTCATCAGTCAGTCACATTTATGATAGTGGTTTGGGGATGTGATCATATCCACTGGGATCACATGGAAAATGTAAGTCAGTGAAATTCCAGACAACAGTTGTTGGCATGATCTGAGCCTGGTCTGACAGAAGCCATACTGATTTTTCAGTTCCCTCATTGGTCCCCTTTGTAAACCCATCAGAATCCTCAGAATATCCTGTGACTTTTGGATGGACACTAAGTTACCTTGGGTGCTCTGAGTCCCTGTAGGATTCAGGGAGAGCTGCTGGGCAATCCCAGCAAAAGTGGTACAGACAAACTGAGCTGAGCAACAGGGAAGGGAAAAGGTATTTGGAGTAGTGTTGGCCTGTTTATATATTCACCGATTGGTGAACCCTTATTTCACATAAAAGGAATAGTAGAAAGAATGTAATTGCAAGTTAAATGAGAATGCTGGAGGTCTCATTGAAGTTACTAGGAAAAATTATCAAGAATTACAGAAAAATTTTGGTCTTGCAGAAAGGACTGATAGACTTTCAGGGTTGGGGTCTTGGAGGGGCAAGGAAGGGGATGGTGTAGAGGAGATAGAAGCCTTCGTGTGGGAAGCTCATGGGATTGCAATTCTGGGACAACTGATAATTGATTCTTTGTCTCGCCTTCTACAGTCTGTCACTTTCTTCCATGCACAGCTGGCTACCTTTGACTGGCATTTTATTTGATTGTAGGGGAAAAAAAAGAGTTAATTTGAAAGAGCACCTCTGGCTTTTAAGAAAAAGGAATATTAACACCCTAGCTTTTCTGTGGTTTATGAGTAGCAGTGGTAGTGCAATGAATTCTTGCTGCACCAAGGCTCAAAATGTTTGCATACATCATCCAGCTGATGTAAATACAGATTTATTGTATTTCCAATTCTGTAAAAGGTGATTAAATTTTTTAAAAGTGAAAAAATGGAGAGGAAAATATGAGAACAAAATAGTTGTTTTCACAGAAATCTCAGGCAAGCCCATAATGATAGGTGGAAGACTGGTAGAATCCCTAGGTCTGTGTTATTTTCATTGTACTACCAATATCAGTAGCAGAAATCTTTTTATTCCAGAACAGCCTTTTAACTCAGTGTAGCTGCAGACATTATGGAACATCTTGAAGAGCAGGAGGAGAAGAAGCAGATTTGCTGGCTGGTTACATCTGTGGATGTAATGGACATCTCTGGAGCCTTGGCTGTAAGTACATCACTTTATAGATGTCATGATATTTCCCAGTGGCTCCTCAAAATTTTCTATAAAATAATTTTAAAGGTTTTATCCCAAAGCTAGAGCATGGGTTTATCTGAGCTATACTGGGATCTCATTTTATGTGGAATCTGTGCTCTGGTTCATCCAACAGGGCAGACTTAGTGGCAGAAAATTACTGGGTGAAATCTTAGGGAGAATGTCTGGCAGAACAGGACCTCATTAAATAAGAAATGTTGAACTTCTCTTTTTTTTTCCCCTACAGGAATTATTTCTCTCTGAACCTGGGCCTGGTGAAATGGTTAAAGATTTGAATACAGATAGCTGATAAAAGTGAGTTCTGTTTCATAAAAAATGTCTCACAAAATGAAATATATTTCATATTGTTGGTTCTTTTTTATTCATACAGTGTATGGACTAGTTCTACTGAATCATAGCTGCAAGAAAGCAAGAGATTTAACTATAGGAAGAAAAAAAGTCAAGCAGCATTTCAACGTGAAGGCCCAGGATAAGAAGAATGAAGAAAAATAACATGAGAAAGGTATATCTAGGAGAGTAAGAAGTTGTATATGTCTGTCTATAATGTAGGAAATTATGTTTAGCAGTTAAACCAGA